TTCTTCAGCATGTAATATTTACTTCTTGTTGCGTGTATGCGTGAGTGCTCGTGAACTTTGTCACACCACAGCCAATGCAAACAACCAAAATAAAATAACCCCCCCCCCCTGCCTTGCGAGATGAATAAAGAATGTTATTTCCTTGCCTCTGTCATTGCCAATGTCACTGTCAAATTACGGAGAGTGTTGTAACTGTATTGCGGGGGTGGCGGTTGGGGGGGGGGGGGGTGGCAGGCACACAAAGTGAACACACGACAGGATAGATCGACGCCAGAGTTTGTGTCATGGTCCAATGGTTTGTGTTTGCTACCTCAAACCCAAAGCTTTTTTTTCTTTCTATGAACGAATTGATTATTATATTATGCATTGTGAGACTGAACAGTGTTGGAGCAAAACGGATTGTGGGAGGGTTTTGCTGGTACGGTAAAACCTGAATGCTTTCTGTGTTTTTATTTTTTTTTCCTTTGAAGTTATTATTTCAATGCAGTTTTTTTACATCTCTGTCGACACAACATAAATTATTTGGAAGAGAGGGTCTCGACCTTGCTTGTCAGGGCCAGCCCAGGTTGAAAGGGATTCAGCCTTCAAGCAGAAATACCGAAATACTTGATGAAAATTCTCCTCCAAGTGGGTCCGAGCTCGGATCTTCTACTTATGACAGTGATGTGTCTTACCGCTTCACCGTAGACGTCAGAGTCAATATTTATTGAAATAGATGCAGTTGATGTAATAAGAAGTAGTGATGTGTGAGCCATAGCCTACCAATTCTTGTAAGGACTAGGCTAAATACTATGACAAAATGCACGAGCAGCTAGCGAGCACCGTAAACAATGGAGGGGCATTAGCTGAGGTCAATCTCATGATAATAATAATAATAATAATAATAATAATAATAATAATAATTGCATTTATATAGCGCATATCCATGCTCAAGAGCATGCTCTATGCGCTTTACAACTATTATTACCCCAGCAGACCCTCTGAAAACACCCAGAAACATTCTCAGCTTCTACGGAAGCATACAGTGCAAGCTGCGGATTTCACGCGCTCAAACACTATCAAACTGACAAAATCGTTCACTGTCAATAACCGGGTACCCATTTCCACCTGGGTGAAGTGAGGAAAATGTGTGCAAAGTGCCTTTCCCAAGGACACAACGTCGGGGCCCTGACGGGATTCGAACCCACGACCTTACGGTTGCGAGTCCGAGAGCCTAACCACTAGGCCACCGACGTTCAGGTATTGTGCTGAACGTTGTGATCAGAATGACATCGTATTATTTTGTGACTAAGTTTATATTTGTTCTAAACAGCTTATTTATTCTCTTTTTTTTCTTTTTTATCCACAGCCTTCTATACAAGCAGTGGTTGCTCTCACAGACTGGCCCCACAACATTCGAGAAACCACGTCACGTCTTTAGAAACTCTTAAAACAGGAATCGCCTAGCAAATATATACGAACTGCGTCGAGACATTATCCTTGCTCAAGATCTGGAGAACATTGACGTAAAACAATTGTCCACCATATGGCCTCGGTTGTACTTTTTAAACACCTTACTGCTTTCTTCACAATAAGACTAACAGCTGGACCCCTTCGTTTGTCAACTGTTTTGTTTGGATTTTGAAAACCGGATTTGTTTCTGCTTGACGATCCCCAGAAGTAAACGAATCCTTCAGGAATTTCCACCAAAGATTTTGTCTGAAACGTTTTGACGGATTTCTAATCTCGGGACGCAGAGAGACAACAGAGAACTCTACTACTGACTCCGTTGGCCTTGAATTTCCTCAGCCACACATACCCAACAAAATCAGTGATAAAACATCAACAACAACAGCAGCAGCAGCAACAAAGAAGCAGCAGCATCAACAACAGCAATTGTAACGACGACAACAACATCAAAAATAACAACGAAAACAACAACATCATCAACAGCAACAACAGCAATAAAAACAACATCAACGACACCGTAACTACCTAAAAAAAACCCAACAGCATTGACAACAACACGGTCACCACTACCACAAACAAAACAACAACTAAATCAACAAAATAACAACACCACCACCACCACCAACAAAACAACAACTAAAACAACAGCGACAACAACAACAGCAACAACAGCAACAACACCAAAAACATCAAAAAGCAAACAACAAATCAAACACCACCCCCACCCCCC